GGGTCACATCCTCACAGACAACTGAAGAGGGAGGCTCAATGGGTCTCCATCTACTCAACAGAAGCTGATCCTCTGGCTGCTTTCCCACACTCTCCAGAATTGGATCTACAGTACAGACTGTCTCCTTGCTTCTTCCTGAAATCTTAGGGTCAGTTCTACTCAATGCACATAACGTAAGGGAATCTGAAACGAGCGGGCAAGTAACAGGTAGTTTGACCTCCTCCTCTATACTATCACCTTGACTAGGGTGAGGCGGGGCCTCTACAACAGACTTACTCTCGACAACTGATACTAAACTTGGAGTGAGCGGGAATACTTCTGCCAACCCGACATCTTGTCCTAAACCATTCACTTGGCTGGAATACAATAGAGTCGTGGCTTTTAAGTTTCTCTCAACTCCTGGCACAACGTTCGTAGTGAGTGGGCAAGACAATGGTAAATGGACATCCTTTCCCAATTTATTGGAATAAAGCAGAGTCATAGTATCAGGCTTACTCTCAACAACTAAATCGGCCACATAGGAATCTGGAATAACCACATCCCACTTCTCCACTGAAGGGGTACTGGTTACTGGAACAAATGCTTGAGTAACATTAGAACTGACAACTGGATTTATAATAGTACTGACATCAGCACAGGTAGAATGGACAAAATCATCTTCTACAACAGGTTGTTCATTCATTTAACTAACTTCAGCACAGGCAGAATAAACATGGTCTGCAACTGGCTGTTTACACAAACGGGGATCATTCTCACCCACAACATGATTTATGGCCACATCATTACCCAATATAACATCCACACCTGGGATGGGCAACTGTGTACTAACACCTACAGTGCATAAACTTGGTGTAATGGTGGATCTAAAATTAATGTCTATTAGAGGTACAGTTTTACATCCTGCAACACTGAAGAACAACAAACTTTCCAGTATCTCTCTTTTCAACATCAGAAAGAATACTGGATGAAATTATGGTTTGGGAAGCACCTGTATCACGAAGAATAACCACTGGCTTCCACTTCCCATTAATACACAAAACTTCACCTGAAGACATATATGGTGAATACTGTTTCACCCAATTGGGGTTTACAGTTACATGTTTATTAGTAAGTTTATTTTGCACACCTCTACAATAAATGAGACCAGTTGGTCGTAACTCAGGGTGCAATATAAAACAGGAATTAATTCCATGGCCTTTTCTCTTATAATGGGAACAAGACCTTACAGTGGACACACCTGTGGAACCAACTGTAGGTTTAGAAATAACCTTATTATTATTTGACATTCCTGACAATGAAATAGCAGGGTTAGGTTTTGTAAGAGAAGAGCTCATGGGAGTAACTGGAGCACTAGGACTGGATGGATTCTGATAAGGAGTTCGGTGAGCATTATAATTTACTCTACGACTAGACTTAGGTGAAGTGGCCGTAAACTGGGCCTTAGTCAACAACTCATGCTCATCAGCGAGCTTTGACAGCTCATAAATGTCTGTTACATTCTTTTGTTCTGCCATAAAAGTAGACAACTGGTCTGGGAGACATGACAATACTTCTTCCATTATAAGAAGATTCTTTAGAGCATCAAACTTAGTTACTGAAAGTGACTTTAACCATCTGTTGCAAAAATTCGTCTTCTGACGAGTAAAATCTGCTATTGTCTGATCACTTACCCTCCTTAGGTTCCGAAACTTCTGCCTGTGTGCCTCTGGATTTAATTGATACGCATTTAAGATGCTTTTCTTTACAAATTCATAATCAAAGCTACGAGCGTCAGGTAGGGATGTAAAAACCTCCTGACTACGCCCCTTAAATTGAGACTGCATAATGGCTACCCATTTATCCCTTGGCCAGTTCATACTGATGGCAATCTTATAAAAATGTGCAAAGAAAACCTCAGGATCCTCCACATTAAACTTGGGTAACTCTATATACTTATTCATCCTTATGGGATTATTATCACTATTTGTTGAAACATTACTAGTATTTCCATGCCCAGCTGCCATACGCTGTGTTTCAAGCCTGAAGTTAGTGTCAGCCATTTGTTGTTGAATCTCTAATTGTTGCTTCTTTGTGGCTTCTAGTTGCAACTGTGCCGCAATTTCTAAACGCCTAGTCTCAAGCTCCCTCTGCTGAGCTTCAGCCTCTAATATTTTCTGTTCTTTTTGAGCTTCAAGTTCTAATATTCTCTGTTCTTTTTGAGCTTCAAGCTTAGCATTGGCTATTTGCACTTCTAACTCGAGACGCTTTAACGTCATCTGATCACTCGCCTCCTCTCTTAACTCCTCCAGAATTTCTTCGTCTAACTCTCCATTCTCAACAAAATGCGTCACAATGACTTTCACAATTTGGGCTTTAACCATTCTATTGTTGGCGGTCAAATCCAACTGATTTGCCATTTGTATTAACTCAGTCTTTTTTAGGCTCTTAATCCCCTCAAAGTCTGGGTGAGCCAACAACGACACAACTTGCTCCTCCATCGTTACTAACACTTGGCACTTGATTCACAACAATAATTAAAACAATGGCACTGCACTACACTTCACTGTAAAATTGTCACCACACTAAAAATTCGCTTGGCCTCACTGCACAAACAAAATATATAGGATGACTTACCTCAAAATCGTGAAACGTTGTTAGTTACTTGACACACAGGAAGGCTTGCTTGGCACATGGAATAGTTCTTAAGAAACACAGACACCTAACACGCTGGTACCTAGGAAGGCAAGGTTAGATTAGCATAGTTAAGTTTAAGTGGGAACAATATATCCCGGACAGGCCCCCATAACTCTGTGTTACTTATCGTTCGTTACGGCTTGTGACCCTACAACAGCCAACTTTACAAAAAGGTCTAGGGTTACTAAAACTGTTGTTCACAAGAGCGGGTCACCAGTATAACCCCTTAATAAGTAATGAGCACTTTGTTAAAATTTTCCTTTAGGACTGAAGAATTATACATATAACTTATAATATATATATTCAATAAAGTATAATAATAAAACACAGATGGTAAAGTTAACTTATACAACCAAACAAAAAGTATTGTCTCTCACAGAATATAATATAATAAAATATGAATATGGCACAACATGAATGTTACAGACTTAACTCTACAAGATGTGATCTCTCCTGCCCAGTATCAGCTACTGACCTACATATCTGCGGGAGTCAAAATCATTGCTTCTGCCCGGCGAAAAAATTGCCAAAGTTTCAATATTTATTATTTCTACAATGGAGCAATATATTGTGACAAGAGTAATCTTAAACTAACTTAATGAATGGTCAATACATATAGGTAAAACAAAAATAAGGTAATTATTGCTTTACATAGTAATTAAAATACACATACAAAGGGGAATGATGGCATGCTCATCCAGCAACGGACTATCCCACGACAATTTGCCAGAGACAGTTCACACAATTATTATTCACCTATGTTACCCACTTATGATCACATATAAATCATTAGTTCCCATGGGAAACTGAGTACACAAAGAAATAAAACAATCATTCCCACGGTACGTTGGGCCTAACGCCAACAATGTAACATGAAATTATTTTACATAGAACATATAAGTATATCAATATACATACATGTAATTTATACGCAATTATAAATGTACATATTAATTTATTTAATTACGTATCTTATAGAGGTACGTAACAAAGCTCATATGAAGAGGATAACATCAGCGGCATATGCCAGGTTGGCTGCCATAAGAATGGCCTCTAGAAACTTGTGTAAGGAATCTTTCAGAACATTGTATACCACATATGTCAGACCAATCCTGGAGTATGCGGCTCCAGCATGTAGTCCATATCTAGTCAAACATAAGACTAAACTGGAAAAGGTTTAAAGGTTTGCCACCACATTTAGTACCCGAACTGAGGGGTATGAGTTATGAGGAAAGACTACGGGAATTAAACCTCACGTCACTGGGAGATAGAAGATTTAGAGAGGACATGATTACCACATACAAGATTCTCAGAGGAATTGATAGGGTAGATAAAGACATACTATTTAACACAAAGGGCACACACACTAGGAGACACAGGTAGAAAGTGAGTGCCCAAATGATTCATAGAGACGTTAGAAAGAACTTTTTCAGTGTCAGAGTAGTAGACAAATGGAATGCATTAGGAAGTGATGTGGTGGAGGCTGACTCCATACACCGCTTTAAGTATAGATATGATAGAGCCGAGTATGCTCAGGAACCTGTACATTAGTTGATTGACTGTTAAGAGGCGGGACCAAAGACCAGAGCACAACCCCCGCAAGCACAACTCGGTAAGTACAACTAGGTAAGTACACATATATGTGTTATATGACAAAGAGTGCTGGGTATACGGGACACCACGAGCGTAGCTCTCATCCTGTAACTACACTTAAGTAATTACACTTAGGTAATTACACACACACCAATTAACACACAACCAATCACACTCATATGAAGTATATATATTTGTACATAATTTAAATTATAAAAGTTTTAAAACGTCAGTCAAACATTTGCAACAACAGTCTACGATTTAGGTGACCGGAATTAACTTATTTTATAAGTTAAAAAGACGATTTTATATAAATAGTTAGAGTGTCACCTTTCTGTGACCAAATAAAAACGTCGTAAAACGCGCCGTGTTTGCTGGGTAGTAGCCTCGAACACCTGTCCTCTAGCTTGGGAGACAGACACTCTGTCAACTGTGTTATAAGTGAGCCTTGTAAGGGAGGGAGCCCAAGGTAAGTAACTGCTACCCAAATGGAACTTGCTTATCCCCGTGACTGCCGCCCAAGCTCAGGAGAATTAGGAATTCGTCCGAGGAAGTGTGGCTCATCACATTCCTTAATGGTTGACATATTCATATTTTCTCATTCTTGGTTTTCGAAATAGTTAAATTATTTAAAGAATGGACTGCGGAATTACTAGAGAGAATAAAAGGTGAATATTTTCACATTCTTCATTATTAAATTCAGTTGATTTATAGGTCAAATGAAACAGTGTAAATCAGGCTTTAAATTTATTGTGCGTATGGGAATTGAATGAAAATAAAGCAAATAATCAATAACTCTACTACAGCAAGTCATTCAAACTTTACTCTAATCCTCCTCCCGAAGCTCTCTATTCTAAACCTCTTCCACAAATTGTGTGTTCAGTAACTTCTCTGTAAGTTCTCAACTCTATATCTCGTCCACAGCTCTCTCTACTGTGTAAATTCATCACAAACTCTCAGCTGTGTAACTTCTCCACAAGCTCTCTATACTGTGTAAATTCTAAACAGCTCTCTGTACTGTGTAAATTCTAAACAGCTCTCTATACTGTGTAAATTCTAAACAGCTCTCTATACTGTGTAAATTCTAAACAGCTCTCTGTACTGTGTAAATTCTAACCAGCTCTCTGCTGTGTAACTTCTCTACAGCTCTCTGCTGTGTAACTTCTCTACAGCTCTCTGCTGTGTAACTTCTCTACAGCTCTCTGCTGTGTAACTTCTCTACAGCTCTCTGCTGTGTAACTTCTCTACAGCTCTCTGCTGTGTAACTTCTCTACAGCTCTCTGCTGTGTAACTTCTCTACAGCTCTCTGCTGTGTAACTTCTCTACAGCTCTCTGCTGTGTAACTTCTCCACAGCTCTCTGCTGTGTAACTTCTCCACAGCTCTCTGCTGTGTAACTTCTCCACAGCTCTGTGCTCAGCGCGTTGTCCTCCACGTGGGAGGAGAGACCCTCAGCCTCTGACGTCAACAACAGTGCTTGAGAAAAAAGTTACTCAAAACTCTCTCATATTCGAGCTCTCAATAAAACTACATCTATATTACAGTTAAAATTAATATTATCTTAAACATTTCAATCAATATTATCTTAAGCATTTCAATCAATATTATCTTAAGCATTTCAATCAATATTATCTTAAGCATTTCAATCAATATTATCTTAAGCATTTCAATCAATATTATCTTAAGCATTTCAATCAATATTATCTGAAACATTTCAATCAATATTATCTGAAACATTTCAATCAATATTATCTGAAACATTTCAATCAATATTATCTTAAACATTTCAATCAATATTATCTTAAACATTTCAATCAATATTATCTTAAACATTTCAATCAATATTATCTTAAACATTTCAATGAAAATAATATAAACATAATAGTCCACAAAGTGTATTATATTACAACGTGTGCTGTTCCTTGACTAATGTTGAGACATGACAACACTGTAGTGCAACACAGCATTGCTTTCATGCATATTTCTAGGTCAGAGTTTAATGTTACATTATGTTTTGATTTAATTATTCATAACACATGATGTCATCATTCTATTCTTACATCTCAAGGCAACAGCAAACTTTTCGCGGATTTATTATATTAATAAAATATAAAATAAGAACTACACTGAATAGGGTAATGGCCTTACCCATGTTTTATAGATAACTTGCACATTGATTTCATAAAAAAAATAATTTCCCAGGTACTCCAGAGAGAATCATTTACCATGTACGTAATTCCTTTTCAATTAAGGTGCTTATTGGGAGGCCAAAGAAACGGGAACGTGACGTTCGTAGTGTGGGTTATTTTCCTGATTGATGATGACAAAGTAACTATGAAGGTCTTGGAATGAAATTATTCACACACTTCTAGCACTTTTCCCCTCGCATTATATTGTACTACAGTTGCAAAGTAAACAGCGTAGTGCTTTTGGTGAAACATCTGAACTTGTATTACCAAGCAAGTTTAATGTTTGTATTTCCTCTCGAAGATTTATTTTTAGCAAAATATTTATATTATATATACAGAAGGTAGGTGTCTTGGAGAAAATCTGTGAAGCTTTAATTTCCTCTCTAAACTTTCACTTATCTGTTTATTAATCATTCATCAAACTCACCAATGATGAAAATGTATCGTGAACAATCACCTCATTTTACACACCACCATTATTTGGAAAAATAATATTCTCAATTCCTCTGTACTCTCTCTGTTCTAAAGCAACTTTACCAAACTTATGGGAAACGAGCCCTAAATGCACAATTCTTTCCTGTAGCACCTCAACACTAGTAGAGGTGTGTATGCTCACCTGTATGTGTGTTTTAACTGTGTGCTCGCAATGTTGTGTTTTCGTGTATTGCAGAGAAGAGTTTTGGTCTGATCTTATTCTGGGTAAACATATTGGCTGTATATTGCTGAGTCGATTCACTATCAACATGGTACCCACTGATGCTGAGTTGGGGTAAGGACTTGGTCTTCTTCAAAGAGTTAATTGACTTCAGGCGGAGTCGGTCGTTCAAGTCCGACTCCGCCTCATCACCATATTCATCACTCATTTTCAGCTCTATATCATTCGTCAGTTAAAGCACGAGGATCCTCCAAGCTGTGCCTGGCAAGTCATCAATTACCGTTCACCATAGAGTACTTGCTTATCACGGTGATGATGATAATGCAATTAATAAATTAATGATCTTCTCAACGAGAGTCATCTTCTCGTGGTGAGGAGAATTTGGCAGCCAGTATCTGTATATATCTGTAGGTGTGTTCTGCTTTAGCCTCATGATTCATTTTTTGTATGATTCTTCATGTTCGTCCATAACGCACCCGGCATTATGAAGAGCAACTGGTGAATGAAAAGAAAACTGAACATTAGGTCTTACATGGGTATCAATTAACTGCAAGTGTTCATTATTATGATCATTTCCCTATTAGGTTTTTTTAGAGATTTTCAAAAGCTAGAAAAACAAATAAATCTCCTCCAGAAGCACCAGGTGGCCTCTGAAGAAGACTTAAATCTGTGCGACTCTCAAATCAATAGCTCAGCTGATCTACCAGAAGAACTACAAGGTGAGAACTGCTTTAATGAAGCCTGTGACTTAATTAATTCAAAGAGCAAAGTCAACATTGATATCAAATCAGCTGTCAGGATAGATAAAAACAGTCCCCCGTAGCACTAGGCGAATGCTCATTAAGCTCGCAAATCCCGGTTTGAAGTATAACCTCATTCAATCAGCTGCACAACGAAAGAACAAACTTTTAGTCAATGAAAGCCTTTCCAAGCAGCGTGGATCCATCCTCTACAGGCGGAATCAAATTCGCAAACAAAACCCAAGTATTATCAATCAGTGCTACTCTAGAAATGGAACCATCATTGTGAAGAAGGAAAGAACAGGAAAAAAGATATGAAATAAAGTGTGACCAACATCTTATGACCTTCTTTAATGACTGTGGCTTAACTGAAAACCAGCATTCTTCCAATGTCAATTATGGAAATATCTCCTGAGTGACCTAGCGTTACCTAGCCTAACCCTGTCCAAGATGCAGTCTTTCGCTCTACTAGGTAAATAATACTCTCTCATCCATAAATGTTCCTAACTTCTCAGTAAAGTATTCAAGTACTTACGTAAGCATCTACCTCAGTATTGTATTAAAAACTTATTCGTTTGTATTACTTTATCTGTTATCTTTAAATTTAATGGTAATTTGTGTACGATTAGTCATTAATTAAAACTATTTCAGATTATATATTTATTAAGATTATATTAATTATAGGATCATAATTAAGCTAATAATAGTTAATTATCGTTAAGATTATATAATATTAAGATTATACTATATTAAGATCAGTAATAATTAAGATTAATTTTCTCATTTGTTTGTATTAATTCCATTATCTTATTAAATATTAATCTCGTCAATCTCTATTGAATCGAATTTTCGATTCAATAAAGATTTAATCAATTCATTGAAGATTGTTATTGAATTGAATTGAATTTTACTTGTCATCTGTTTCCTACCTACCTAAATACGCTGATTCTTATTTCATTTTTAACTTGTTCCTACCATAATGAAATTTTCTGCTATAGTTTTTATTAATACCTGCTTGATGGGGTTGTGAGCTGACGCCATAAACACAATATACCGCCGTACGGTGCGGCAAGTCTCCCTCTAACACACACCTCTGTTTTAGTCGCCGCTCCTCTGTCTACACCACAACGTAACAAGCACTTTTGGAACTTATCATCCTCAACATAAGCGCCTCTCCCAACATCTGTACTGGTGCAGTCATCGGAAGGACAAATCCTTCATGCAAATTGCACCTACTAACAAGAAGAAGATGGGGTTCTGGGAGTTCTTCTACTCCCCAAGCCAAGCCCGAGGCCAGGCTTGACTTGTAAAAGTTTGGTCCACCAGGCTGTTGCTTGGAGCGGCCAGCAGACCCACATATCCTCCACAGCCCGGTTGGTCCGGCACTTCTTGAAGAGAACTATCGATTTTTCTCTTGAAGATGTCCACAGTTGTTCCGGCAATATTTGTTATGCTCGCTGGGAGGATGTTGACACACCGCGGACCTCTGATGTTTATACAGTGTTCTCTGATTGTGCCTATGGCACCTCTGCTCTTCACTGGTTCTATTCTGCATTTTCTTCCATATCGTTCAATCCAGTACGTTGTTATTTTACTGTGTAGATTTGGGACCTGGTCCTCCAGTATTTTCCTCGTGTATTTTATTTGATATCTCTCTCTCATCTCCTTTCAATTGAATACATTTGGAGAGCTCTGAGACGATCCCAATAATTTAGGATCTGTTAATAACTGTAGCAAAATAGTTATAATGTAAAGAATATTAATCTTGTCCATCTCAATATAGAATATTATACATGTCAGTCTCTATTAAATATTTATTTTTATTTGTCATTTGTATGCTTCTTGTCTAATTACAGTGATCTTAATTTTACTTCTACTTGTTTCTATTATACGTTTATTTGCACTTTTTTTCCTATAGTTATTTTTATATCTAGATTTTTTTATAATTGTGCCTACTTTTTTATTTATTCTTCAGAAATTAGTTTATTGCTATTATTATTTAATCATAGTTTAATTTTAGTAATTTTGCTAAGTTAATTTTATTACTAATCATATGCCTCCTTTTTTCTATTCTACTTTCATCTCACTGTGATTATTTTTTAATTTAAATTTTTATTGTGATTGTTATTGGAATCTACTGTCACACACCTCCCCCAATATCCTAATCAAAATATCCTTAAAGTCTATTCCATTCTTATTGTATGCAAACTTCCATTGACTCTGAATTAAATTTGCTATCACATATCTACAATAATCAGCACATTGATCATCACTATTGAAGTTATTACACAGCAAACCTTGCCAAAAAAAAAAAAACTCCAAAATAACACTATCCTATCAGTATTCAACCAAAATGTCGGATCACTTGGTAAACATCTTGATGCCATCAATGCGCTACTTGAGGCACCAGGCACTAAACTATCTTTCATTGTTCTAACAAACATGGCTAAGTAAAGACCATACCCAACTATACAACCTGGCCGGATAAATACAGTTTCAATTCCACAAGTGTTATTAGCAAGAGAGACATCTACTGTGAATATACCTTTGCTCAATTCTGTCAAATCCCTTAAATCATCAAAAACTATTGAAGCTATTTATAGATTTCCCAAAACTCATTCAACTGCATTCTCAGAAAATATAAAGAACCTAATAATAATAGACAAACTCAACACCCGCCAAACACACCGAAACTACGACGTTGGTACAACGTTCGAACAAGTTTTAATACCTCCTAACCAGTTATAACAACCAATATAGCAAGTTGTAACAACGTTCTAATACGTCATAAACACGTTAATCCAAGATGTAACAACTTTATTACAAGTTGTAACAAGCGGAAAATAGAGACAATTTCGGTTGAATATTTCCTAAACAGCATGAACTCCTGTACGACCCCCCCCCCCCCCGCCCCCCATCACCAAACTCATAAATTTCTCAATCATCTGCCACATCCCTGGACCACACATGGACTAATGTAACGGCCCTTTGTCTCTGGTATAATCACTGACAGAACAACCGATCCTATCCTTCCTTCCTCTCAGCAAACATGGACATAACACCCTCGGTTACCAATAAACTTACCTTTAGACTACACAGCAAATCAGCAATAGGGAACCTCATAAATGCACTTCACACTATAAACTGGGAATCTGAACTTAACAGTGCACAGGATATAAACTCATTAGCCGACATCTTTCTCTCCAAAACTCTAAGCCTCTACAACACTCACTGTCCTCTTCTCATGAAGCAAGTAACTGCCAAAAGATTAAATAATTCCTGGCTAACAAGTCCATACTTAAATCAATTAACAAGAAATACGAATATGAAAAAACATGGGATTTGGTTGGTTACAAAAGAAGAAGGTAAGATATACTCATCAATGCGTTTCAATATAATACGAAAAGCCAAAGTTTCCTTTTATGAGGATAGATGTAAAGAAGCAAAAGGAAATATGAAAAGTACATAGCAAGCCATCTATAACATCCTAGAATCTAAATAACAATCACATATTAATGAGATAAAACTCTCCAAAGTTGGTTACACACTTGCAACAGACTTAGAATTAGCAACTGAATTCATTAGCTTCTTTTCATCAATTGGTGCTAACCTTGCCAGAAAAATCCCAGAGACCCAGACACATGTTATTCCATATCTCACCGGCAGCTATCCTAACTCTTTTCTCTAACCAGCCAGCCAGACATTAAATCCATAATTCAATCACTTACAACCAAAGCTAGGAACATTAAGGATATACCATCTTTGGTATATAAAAGTGCTGCCCCTGCTCTTGTGCTACCCATAGCTCTTCTATTCAACAAATCTCTAGAATGTCATACTTTTCCTGATATCCTTAAAAAAGCATGAGTAATGCCAGTTCATAAAGTAGGCGAGACAGCTGACATAAATAATTATAGACCAATATCAAATCTACTTATACTTTCAAAAATATTTACAAACAGCTCTATTCCTATTTTATAAAACTCAACATATTAAGTCCCTGCCAGTTTGGCTTCCATTCCCAAAAGAGTACCAATGATGCCATTATTAGTCTGCGTGATATAATCTACACAGATCTTGACAGAAACGAGTTCCCAATTGGCCTCTTCATTGACCTGAAAAAGACTTTTGATACTGTAATCGATAACTACCTCTTACTTAAACTTCACCACTATGGTATCCGAGGCGTTGCTCTGGACTATATTCGTTCATATCTCAGTGACAGACACCAATATGTAGCCATCAATAGCATAACCTCCCACACTCTACTACTAACAGTAGGAGTACCAAAGGGACCATCTTAGGACCTCTCCTATTTCTCATCAATGATTTGCTAAAGGTTTCTAACATTCATAAGCCTATACTTTTAGCTGATGATACTACCTTCATCTATTCTGACCCCCAACCCCCATACACTATATAGTATTGTCAATAATGAATAATAACAAATCCACTCATGGATGTCAACCAACAAACTAACACTATACATATACAAGACCTACTACATTTTTTTTGAGAGTAAATCATCAAATTAAATTCGACCTCAGATAGACAATATTAACATTAGCAATACAAATGAGGGAAAGTTCCTTGGCTAATACATAAATAAGAAACTGAACTTCAGCACCCACATACAAGTCTCAAAAACGGTCGGTATACTTTCTAAAATCAGATATTATGTTCCACACTCTGCTCTCCTCTCATTAGTCTATGCGCTAATCTATCCCTATTTTACATACGGTGTCTGTGCATGGGGTTCAACCACTGGCGCCTGACAGCTGGGTGGACTGCGCTTCGGATTCGCAATCCAGAGGTTCTGGGTTCGATCCCTGGAGGAGGCGGAGACAAATGGGCAAAATGTTTCTTTCACCCTGATGCCCCTGTTACCTAGCAGTAAATAGATACCAGGGAGTTAGACACCTGCTACGGGCTGCTTCCTGGGGTATGTGTAACAAAAAGGAGGCCTGGTTGAGGACCGGGCCGCGGGGACGCTAAACCCCGAAATCAACACAAGATAACTGAAAATTACCTCATATCCAAAAATATGTTATCAGTACTAGAACAAACTCTGCCTTCGAAAAACACAGAGCCCCTCTATTTAAGTCACTCAACATCCTACTGTTTAAATATACAAAACCTTGTTCCTAAATGCTAATTTTATATATATATATATATATATATTGTATGTGTACATACAAAAGAATGGGGGTGGTAGGAGAAGATAATATTAGTGTTCAGTAGGAAACCACAAGGTCTCCTCTGAATACTTTTTATTTTCTTCTCCGAGGCTATGGGTCCCCACATTGGCACCAGAGGTGGTACCCTCACAAATGTAATATATATATATATATATATATATATATATATATATATATATATATATATATATATATATATATATATATATATATATATATATATATATATAGCTAGCTTTTTGAAGGAGTTGGGGTCTAAGCTAATTTATTTATTTATTTATTTATTTATTTATATACAAGAAGGTACATTGGGTTTGTGAGAATACATTGGATAGTACAGTATTTACATTCTTGTAAAGCCACTAGTACGCACAGCGTTTCGGGCAGGTCCTTAATCTAGCAGATAATTTTAAGTAGGTAATTTCAATCAGAATTGATAAATGATAAAGATACATTACAAGAGAAAAATGAGATGAGAGAGATAAGTAAGTATATTAAAGCACATTGTTATATTAAAGCTCTGATTGATTACATTGACAGCTTGATTAGTAATTTAAACAAGGTTAATAGACACCATACAGCAGATTGACAGCACATATAAGACAGCAATGATCACAATGGTAAAGATGTTCAGAATGGGTACATAAAGATTGGGAGACTGGGTAGCAAAAGATACAGATAAACAAGATTTATAAACACCATACCACAGATTGGCAGCACATATAAGAAAACAGCAATGATCGCAATGGTAAAGATGTTCAAATTGGGAACATAAAGGTTGGGAGATTGGGTAGCAATTGATACAGTGCAATTTTAAAGCAAAAAGTGAAAAACTATGAAGATGAAATTAGGTACTTTTTAGAATTGATTTTGAATGATGTAAAAATTGGACAGCTTTTCAATTCAGTAGGGAGTGAGTTCCATAAACTGGGTTCCTTTATTTGCATAGAGTGTTTACACAGATTAAGTTTAACTCTGGGGATATCAAAGATATATTTATTTCTGGTGTGGTGATAATGGGTCCTATTACATCTGTCCAGGAAGAGTTTCAGACAAGGATTTGCATTTAAGAACAGGGTTTTGTAAATGTAGTTGACACAAGAAAATTTGTGGAGTGAGATTATGTTTAATCGAAACAACTAGAGACCCTAGAGCAGCCAGTTTACTCTTTCAGCGCCTTAGTGTGGCAATCCAGAGAGGAAATGCTCACTGCATCCATGGTTCCTGCCCGCCATCTGAGGAGCTGGAGGAGCTATACAACTTGTGACAATTAGCCTTGTACCCTGCATGTAATCAATATTATAACTTTTTTGTGTAATGACTTTTTCAAATAAAGATTAGAGATATACACACACATACCGAAAGATTAGGGTGGTAGGAGAAGAAAATATCAAAGTGTTCAGTGAGGATCCACAAGGTCTTCTCTGAGTACTCTTTATTTTCTTCTCCGAGGCTATGGGTCCCTACACTTGCACCAGAGGTGGTACCCCCGTTGATTGCAGACTTGATTGAGGCTATCAGAGACAAATTATTTATTTATGTATATATTTTTTTCAGTAAATGTTCTTGATAGTTTTGAACGTTGTGAATATATGTACCTTCATTACGGTTATGCCACATCATTTATATGAGAAAGCCAAAGAGTGGGGCCAATAGCCACTGAGTACATGAATAAATATTAATGAAATCGTGAAACGTGGCCTTATGTTCAAGAGGACCATAGGAAAGGATTGAAGTCATTTCTTCTGCACTGGGTGCAGGTGTGAGCCCCGATGATCATAGGATTAGCTGGACAACCTCGTGTCCGAAGTAGACACCTGTCACTCTTTGACACCTGCCGCTCTATAAAACTCTCTTTTGGGACAGAAAGTAGCCTAATAAGTTCCCAGAAGTGCTGTGAGGTCCCTGTGTTGTAGGGCTGGGGTACACAGGGGCTAAGCGCCGACTTCATCGTGAGGGAAGATGCATACAGAGCCGACAAAATAGAAGGCTGTGACAGTGTCACCGGTGATATTCAACAAGGCTCTACCTTTCTTCCCCCTTGACACAATACAATGAAAATATCTAAATGTAACAAATTTTAAAGTTTCTGTGGATCAAGGACACATTTCTGTGTGTAAAACGATTAGCCATTTTATTACTGTAATCTTGTTAAACTGTGAAACTATCCGCCCTACTTTATTATATAGCTTTTATTTGGCATCATTATATGTTTGCCAACTCAATATTGCAATACATTAAGATAGTACTCGTTGTTACCTATAAATATTTTATATTAGTTTTGTAATGGATGTGATACAATTTCAGCATCTAACAAGATCATTATTTATCTTCTTACAAAATTGTATTTGATCAATAACTAATTATTGTTTTGTTATTATTTATTGCGTTATATATATCTCCGCTCTTTTTCTGCCTTTGATACTACTAATGATTCTTTTGGAATGTAATTTTTTGGTTTAGAAGGCACCACAAGTAATCTAATTTTATATTAAAGTTTTTATAAGACTATCCAGGTATCTGCCAGATCATCAGAGTTTAGTACGACTAACCGTCACTTCTTTACAACGTACTTAAAGATAACTCTATTTCTTCACAAACATACAGAGACAAACTTTCAATGATCTAAGAATATTTACTCTAGAGTGTTGGTATCCTATTCTTGATCGTGAGATTCATCCACGCTATCATTCTGTGACAACCTCCACGAACAGATGTTCAAGACATCCATTTGATTATCATTGAGAGCAAGCTTAGCAATGTTCTTCAAACATTGATGGCTCAGACTTGGACATTTCTTCAAAAACTGTTTTATTCCTTTCCAGTCTTTCTCCTCAAGCAGTTCTCTTAAATTCATGCCATTTTTTGCTTTGGAGGTTATCAGCTGCTGATCCTGTGGAAATGCAAATTTTATTAGATACAAATAAATAGAACCACAATGTATAAGGAAGTAACTGTTGCAAAGATTGTGGTATCACCTTTGTTCCCAAGTGTGATATCATCCTAGAACACAGCTTGTGGTATCACTTTTGCACCCAGTGTGTTATCACTCATGTACCCAGTCTGTGGTATCACCCGTGTACCCAGTGTATGGTCTCACCATTGTACCCAAAATGTCTGGCCTCACCCATGTACCCAGTGTATGGTATTACCCTTGTACCCAGTGTATGGTCTCATCTTTGTACCCAGTGTATGGTCTCATCTTTGTACCCAGTGTATGGTCTCATCTTTGTACCCAGTGTATGGTCTCATCTTTGTACCCAGTGTATGGTCTCATCTTTGTACCCAGTGTATGGTCTCATCTTTGTACCCAGTGTATGGTCTCATCTTTGTACCCAGTGTATGGTCTCATCTTTGTACCCAGTGTATGGTCTCATCTTTGTACCCAGTGTATGGTCTCATCTTTGTACCCCTACCGGCACCATAGGCATAGCAATCCATACACGATTTCACTCTCGGGAAACTTAAGATTCTGAAGAACCACCAACTTGAGACATCTCTGTTTGGTGAGAAAGACCACACAAAGCACACCAATACTGCAAGACTCAGAGCATATCTTGTTTGGAATGGAACATAGCTGCTTTTTTCTTCAGTGTTACAATATCATCATCAGTGGGTGGAGTGGCGATATCGACGCCATGAACCTGTACTCCAACTTCCAGGTATTAGGTTAGATGCAAACAACGCCATCTGTTGGCGGGGGCATGGCATCGGTGAAAGGCTCCGGTTTCCTTCCTCAGTTAGAAGGTGATCCCATCGATACGATGGGATGACCTCTGGTGGGTGGCGTATCGACATCAACGCCATCTAGGTTGCAACTACAATTACAATGTCAGTTCCCCGGTGGATGGGTGTTATCCTATGGTCACCCAGTATACTGTCTCTCTAACTAATGACGTTTTATGTTCACACAGGGGACGTAAGGAGGCGATTACGTTGAGGAAGGCAGTTCACCTTGGGCAGTCCTGAAATCTTGACTTAATCCTGTGAGAGGACAAAGTAGCCGCCGTCAGTTAAGGCAGAGCGTTAGTTGCTGGACTTATGCAGTGTTGTATGGATCGACGTACCCGGGATTTGGCCAGGAAGAGTTATGTGACGACAGTGGTGCTAGTGAGCTGCTAAAGACTTCTGCCAGGGTGCTAGCTACCCCTGTAACAGATTATTTGAGACCCCTGTCAGCATGTTGCTGAAACCCTCTGCCAGTGTGTATCTGGAGAGCGAAGGTGGAGTATGGGCACATCGTGACGATGCGGTGTGCGTGGACTGGCCCATGTTGAAGGTGAACTCGCCAGTGTTTGCCATTAAGTGTTGACGACAGGTACCTGGAAAGTGGATTCACTTGGATTTGAACACTGCCGATGTATTGTGTCCTGAGTGAAAGCGACACTTTGTAAATATGTGTAGTAATACTTTAATATAATATATATATATATGTTGGAAATTTCCAACACTAATAAACTACTATTGTATTATAATAAATCATTATTATTATATACAAACTACAGTAGTCACTAAATTTACTAACAGTAGTGTCAACATAGACTAACCATTGCATCTGCGTATTAATGCTAGAATTCTCATGAAATAGAGCGGCAATATTGTGTCAGATAATGTCTAGTTAGACACATTTATTACCAATGGGTTAGAGAATTGAATGTGGTTCTCTAAAATCATCAGTATTCCGTGTAATAATTACATACGGATAATATAACTCCCAATAATCTCAAATCGAGAGTCATTAGTTAAATTGTTCTGTAGTAACATTTCCTTCAGTCACGCACGAATGTCATGGAGAGATAAAATCTTCTCCATTTCTCGTTTAACACCATAAAACGAGAACACGATAATATTTAAACCCCTATAATTGCAACCCAGTCCTCATTAACGTATTTCATCCATAATCGCGCGGAAAAGTATTATTCGTGGATTAATAATTTCTGTGGTGAATGCGAGAGCCGGGTTGGGGAAGGCGGCGACGCCATTGTGGAGACGACAGCGTGCGAGAGAGGAGGGTCCTGGCGTGAAGAGTGGCGAGACACGGTGATTGAGAGTTATCGGCAAGAATTACGCTGATACCCAACTAATAGTGAATAATTATTCCTCCACGTGCTCTATAGTGCCCAGCCAGCCAATAACGCGTCTACAATTAAAGCCAAAACCCACAAATACACGTACAACGCAGTAAACGTCTGGGACTGGCAGACGCAATATCGGCAGACTTCAGTATTCCATACACTCACGTTAAGTATAGGTTTCTTTCTTGATGCATCATCTAAGATTGTATATTTGTGAGTAGTCTGTCGTTACATAATGAGAAGACCCCAAATCCAACGTTAGTACCAATTCGGCATTTCTTCTGTTTCAGGAATATTGAGCTTAAAAGTAGCCTATTCCAATGCTACTTAATATTCTTTAAATTTCAGCCCGTATGTGAGGAGTCATCGAGTCGTTTCTCGTCATTCGCGCTATTCACCTCTAGTTCCTTCTATGTGGAGATCCTGTGATCACGAGGACGAATGACGAAACGATGTCATAGAAATCGTCTTAAAGCTAAGACTCCTTTCGTACAAATTTAATTCATCTAATTTGATTCTTATACAATTTTGTAGGATCATTATATTGAATAGATTATTACCAGATATGATGGTTGGTAATTCATGTGTTTGCTTTGACTGTTGCTCAGTAATTTAATAATCATTAATATTCACAATTTGAGTTCACGTATTTGAATCTATAGCAGTTAAGATTTATAATATCATTTACTCAGCAATGAACTGGTGGCGAACCACACTAGTTCCTAGACGTATATGAAGTTCTAGTAATACCCGCCCAATGTAGGTGTTTGACGCTCTGACTTTAATTAATTAATCATACAGTCCATTCATTATTTCAAGTGATTATCCCTTTTAATAATTATCCATAGACACTGGTTCTCTAGTGTTATTCTAATGATGACTTTTATTAGTTTCCCTCTTTTCTCAAAAGTGGGTGGTCCTTCGTTATTAAATTAAATAAGTAAATAATTGAATAATTGAGTCAAGCCCCAGATATCCCACAATATATATATATATATATATATATATATATATATATATATATATATATATATATATATATATATATATATATATATATATAGTGATGAAGGTGTTAATATATTGGTGAAGGTGTAATTGTGTATTCTTTATCCCCCTCCCCCCCCTTTATTCTTTGCACTACTACTTGCCACAGCCAGCTTCTTGAAAACTTATCACCAACTTGGGGTTGGATATAGAATTGGTTATATCAGCAAGAACCCGCTTACTGGCCCAAAGGGGCCTTAACATTCAGTTTATGGATAAACAACGATGTTGACTATTTGCTGTCCAGCTAGCTGGTATTATGTGCACCTAAGTGCACAAGTAACCAAATTTGTCATACTGCCCTGGGCACCCTGCACCAAATAACATAGGTTTTAACTTTTTATATATTTTTGATGACAGTATCACTGATAAGGTCACTTAACTTCCTACCCTGAAGGGAAAGGCAATACCTTGTGGGCAGTGCCACAAGGGGGCACCTTTAGAAGGTGTACCGAGTCTTATAGGGAAAGGTATATCAAACATCTTAAATATGTGTTAGGTATCACTGAGTTCACCTGGGCACATCACTTAATTAACAACGTACGCTGGGGAAAGTGATTTTCTCCAGAACTAGGAGTATCTCAGGCATTAGGTAGGGCAGTGAATCGGCTCTCACTGCATGGAGACGTCAAGGGGAAGTCACAAAGTAAATGGGACTCACAGAGTAAATGGAAGCAATTCTCAGAA